CTGTGAATATGAACATTTTCACACAAGTTAGACACTTCTAAAAATCATACTAAAAATTATGGATAAACTAGACACATTTTCTAAACTCTAAAAGTTTACGGATTCAGTTTTTGACTTCGTATGATTTTTCTATGATTTTTCTAAAGCAGTACAGAAAGGTTAAAAACTAGTTCACAGCTTACAATTTTCATAACACTTTGTAACATGTTGAGCAAAGTGTTTGTCTTTGATGACTTTATAATTTACACATGTTTTCTGTTAAGTTATGGTTAAATAACAGAAATTTACTTCCTAAATTGTAAGAGTCCTTTCACATTACAAACATACAAGATAAAACATAAGAAGCATAGTTATGCATCCTAAGCATGCTACACGTAAACTCGTTAACGTAAGTTGTGAGACAATTCTCCAAAGGTACTCTTAGAGTACGGGTTAAAATTCATGCAAGTTATAACCAGAGTCTCTTGTAGGGAGAGCGTGATAATTGTGTATATATCTATATTGGGATTGACACCCCACACCTTGCTGCTAGCTATAGCGGGACCTGCAGGTCTACGGGTGACAAAAGTCATAACAAATTTTAACGTCTGAAAAACGTTGTAACAGGTCATCCGGTTGTAGTATGGTTATAGCGACTCACATAGGGAGTTAACATCACTTAAATTTTACGGGAGATACTACTTTAAAAAGGAAAACAGAAAGAGGTTTTATCTATTTAAAACTGTATTCTTCGTTTATGTTACGAATACACACTCATGCATTCGGTCTTGGGATTTAAGACTACATAATATCTTATAAGGAAAATATTGGATTTTTCTTGTGTACACATTCCATTTTACAAATAAAGGTTTTTCCAACATTTCACCCAAAAGCTTATGAACTCACCAACTTAATTGTTGACACTCTTTCAAAACTACTTGTATTCTCAGGAAACCCGTGAAACAGGTAATCAACTGCTTTTGAGGATGGGTCGCCAGACGTCAAATTAAATATTTTTGTCATCATAATGTAATTGATTTTGAAACATGTAAACTCATACTATGGTGTAACTTTTTCAATTATATTTATGATGGTTGTATTTACTATGCGCACTATTATACTCTTTGTTGTGATACTATACATGAAGTCCTCCACCCCTGAACATTTCCGCCATCCTTGGTTTGGGGGTGTGACAACCTTACAAATAACATCATGCATATATGAGCCTTCAGCGTGACTGGACCGCCTCGCAGGGTATAAATACCTTAATTTTTTTTCGCACTCATTTTTCTTAATTTTTATTGGGGAAAAGTCTCTCGGACGGACTTTTTCCAAGTGAAAAAAATTGTTAAAATACAATATAAAGGTACAACCTAAACATAAATTAGTTTTATAACACAAATCATATTTATATCACAATTGTCTAACATATTTACATAATACTTGTATCAAAAACCAGTTGGCTACAAATATAATGTATAAAAACCGAATGTACAACCTCACAAATGTAAATGTACAAGTTCAAGATGCATTAGAAATCATTTTTTTTAACACAAATCATATTATTATCACATTTCTATCACATAGCTCCCTCCGATAGACTTTTCCCCAACATAAATCAAGAAAAATTGGTGTTCCAAAAAAATTAAGGTATTTATACTCTAAAAAAGATAAATCACAAATGGTCCCATGTTTACAGATGGACATGTACATCTGCAAATGTACAACTCACTTATGCACGACACCGCTTTAACAATTTGCACGTTCACAAATGAGAAGACAAAATCACATATGACCCTAATCCATCTGCGATTTTAGTGGTTATTTTTGTAATCTTGGCTCTTTTTTGGCTACTTTCTACAAAGAGATTAGGAAAAATTATTATTTTTGTAATTTTCTCGAAAAGAAATCATTAAGGGTATTTTGTACATTTTAAGTCAAATAAGAACCAAAATCGTAACAAATATAAATGACTGTCCGAGTTAAAAAAAAAAGTTAGAGACCGAACACCTAAAATACCACACATTCAAATCATAAAGACAGTGTAATTTACCCAAATGTTTATAAAGATACATTTTATAAAGTAATATTAACTAAAGGGGAATCATGCGCGTCGTTGGCGCTGTGTTTGTTTTTTTCCTTATTTAAAGCTGTACGAAATGGTAGAACATAATATAATATTAATCAAAACATATTACATATACAGAAGGGATTTTCATATGACAAACAAATCATTGAAAGTATGTTGCTATTTAGTGTATTTTACCCTAGAAAAGAACCCAAAAAGTAAAAAGGTTTTGAGATGATTTACCATTTGTTGCAAGCCACGACCAGAAGAAACAATATCTACAGGACCACCGTATGTTGCACCAGATCATAACCCCAATTTTATAATTTATACACAGCAGAGCACAACAGTGGGCAAAGGGTATTTCAGTCATTTACATAAATGAGAGAATGCCAACCAGGATACGATTTTTCCAGAACATATTGTCGGTTATTGGTAAAAAATCAAAACAAATTTAAAAAAACAGAAAAAAGGTGGAAATGCAAACTATATTGCTATGTTAGTGCATTTAACACCAAAAAACGAAAAATGCACGTAATGGCGATGTGGTATTTTTTGGTAAAAAACATAGAAATGTATTAGAGGCAAGGATGTCGTTGGTGCTACTTTGAATAATGTTTGGAAACAGAAAGCTGGAAATAATTTCTACATTTAATGAGACAATGAAAATTAAAAAAAAAACATTTAGTCAGTAAATAATGGAAAATTAAGAAAACACGAAGAACAAAATGGTCCATTCCATTCCATCTCGCAACAGAATGAACAGTTCCATTCCTTCGTTGAATATTTGAAGCAGGAATCTCAAGCAATTCCATTCCTTCCTTGAACAATTCCTTGAAAAACGCACGTATGACATCCGTTACGAATTGCAAACATTAAAAATGACAGTTTTCACTATTTTTAACTATTATTTTTGCATCAATTAAATACAAAAAGTCAACAAAACTTATAATATTAGTTTTTGACAGCACAAAAACGTACCATGCAGCCAACTTTAAACAGTCGTAACTTTCACATGCGATCTCCAAATAACTTGAATCAAGTTGCTGCACCTTCCTCTCGCAGTTGACTTCATCTTTGAGTCAAGAATGAACTGATTTGGAAATATATAACTTGAGTTATGCGGCTGTAAAGGTGTCAACTAACTATTTTAAATTTCCACCCTAAGAAATTTTTTCCATTTCCAGTAGAAAGCATAGATAACATTATATATAAACAACCACAAACACAAATGAAAATGAAATGAAATATATATATATATATATATATATATATATATATATATATATATATATATATATCAAAAGGTAATTTACTTGGGTTAGGTACTGAATGCATTACCTTCAAAGCATTTGAAAATTTCATTATTTTCCTTTAATAAGTCAATCACGTACCGCACTTTCACGCCATTCTATGTCTCATAAGCCATTTCAAGCATAGAAAATTCAAAACGAAATGTTTTACTTTCGAATATATCACCACAAACATCCAATTCATGAACCTCAGAAGAAATGGTAATAAGATAGTAAATTAGTAATGATGTTGAATTGGCAATTAGCAATGAAAAAAACAACATAAAAGTTGTAATTTCAGCAAAAACATGTAAAAGTTAGTCTGTAAATAGATGAACTTACATTATCATTATGTTCGACCTTCTTTCCTTGCACCACGTCTACAAAACTCTACAAAAGGGTTAAATTTTTTTATGAATAAAAGATTGATGTTAAAAGGTGAAAAAAAAAATTCAGCCGCTTATATGGAATGTGGCAATCAGTTGAAGACTCTCATTAGCACGTGAACAATAAATTATAGTGAATTAGCCTAAATAATTTGGAGAATATGATAAAATATACATTAACGCAGTACATTTTATAGTATTTTTTAAGTCAAATGATACAGAGGCCTATGTGGTTGTAATTGGATATATAATAATTTATTGTATCTTTCATGTACTGTTTTATAAAAAATGACTACATATAAAAGTTAACTTTTAACATAAATAGAAAGGCTCTAAAGTGACATATTAATTACCAAGTTTTGTTAAAGCAGATGAGTGTTTTGCTTTTCATACCCTGTAATCGAACTTTATAGCCAACCTGTGAAAAAGACAAAAATTATTGCTTATAAAGCCTTTCTTTAAGCAATAAAAACTAAGTGAAGAGTAAAGATTAAAGAAAAGCCTTACTGATTCACCAAGAGGCCCTCCCCTTTCAGAAGAAACTCTTTCTGCAATAGCCATGGCAGAGATTCTCCGTGGTTGTGTACACAGTATGTTACAGAATGCCCTACGAGCAGATTCTATCTCAGATTCCAATATGTATTGTGGAAGTTTAGTGGTTTTCCCACATCCAGTCTCTCCAGATATGATAATAACTTGATTTTGTGCAATTGCTTGAAGGAGTCTTTCTTTCTCTTTAAATGCAGGAAGAGACATACGTACTTGTAGCATTTTCTTGCCTTCTGGTGAGTCATGAAGATACAAATAACAATTGAAGATTCAAATTTTGTTCAATAACTTGAAAGTGTAGAGATAATTCAAGAGTTGTTAAGAAGTTATATTCAATATATACCTCCCAAGATATTTGCATATTTTTCATCTGTAAACTACGGCTTTGAAGAACCTTTTCCATAAGAGACCCATCTACTAATGACTCTAGATTACCATTACTACCCTTGTTCGCCAGCTCAGCATGATGACAAGATTCACCTGCGACATCTCCAGCATTCAATTGCATTCGGTCAAGATGTTCTTGGAGTAAACCTTCTACTCTTCTTTGCAAGCTTAATGGGATAACTACCTACATTCAGTGGACCATAAAGACTAATATACCCATCACCAGTTTCATGCAAGCCAATTTCCTGAAAGAAACTGGAAGAACTCTTACCTATCTTTGGGGACGTTTATCATCAAGGTCTGGGCGATAGTTAGGAAGAGGGACCTTGCTTGCAACCACTACTTTTCCATATATTTCACTGAACATGTGATGATTAGTGTGAGAGGAGGGAAAAAAATATATGTGCATAATCAAGATTCGTAAATATGATTTGAATGGGAAAGAGATAAAAGGATGTAGACAAATAAGTGGAGATTTCTTTTGAGTGTATTATTAAGGAATTTCAGTAGTCATAAATAAAAGATACATTTTATTATAAATAGTTTACTTTCACTACCAATATAGGCAATATACTTTATTTATTACCTTATAATAGGTCAAGAATGTAAATATGTTGCTTTTATAGGTGAAAAAAAGTAAAGTATGTTTCTATTTTTGGAATTTTTTGTTTTTTTTTTATAATACAATTTTGTGAAATTAAATATTAAAGGATACAATGAGAAAGACTTTAGAAAGGTAACGTGTTGACCACCATTCAATATGACTTTGGCATTGTTACCCTTTACTGATAGACCTTATAAATAAAAGTTTATTTATTTACAAACTGTATTTCATGTTCAATATAAATGAATCAAAAGGAATAATAACTGAAGATCCTGTTTGAAAGATAAACATAAAGGGAATTTGCATACCAGGGATTTTCACTCTGCCATTAATGGTATAACCACCTTCATTCCTGTAAATCAACATAAGCAAACATAATTATAAATATTAAAAAAATCACTTAAGAGTTATGATCATCATTATACACTATACAGATAGTGTATTAAATAGAAAATAGTTATCACATCAGGTGTAGAAAATGAATCGACAATTGAACATCTGTCTACAAAGGGTGGTTTTTTCCATTACCATTGTGATGTTAAAGGTTAAAACAAACCCCTGCACAGCTAAACATTCATACTAACTACAAAAAGTCGAACCAATTATAGTAGACTTGACAAATTCAAAAATAAAAATAATTTAAATGTACGACTTATAGAAGCAATCATGTTGACCTATAAAAAAAATTTGTCACCTATTTTAAAAAAAAAAGCGAAATATTATGTAGGATTTTGATATTCATATACATTATGCATTTTTTTTGTTTTGATCATATCAACATACAACATACTACCTTTACATTGAGTAGATTTTACAAAAGAAGACTTACCATAACACTTCAACCCCTCCTAGAAGTATGATTGACATGTGGCTGGAGTAAAACGAACCAATAATGGGAACCCAAATACAGGAACAGGATGTGTGTGATATTTTAACCAATCTTTAGTCTGAGGATCTACATGTAGGATACCCATATCCAAATTTCTTATTCATGTTTTCAGCAGTTTCATCGAAGTCCTAATTTTGCAATTCTCGGTCCCTCTTCACCTGAATCTATACAAAGTCAATAGACGGGAATCTGGTAGAGAGCTTAACTTTATACTTTTAGGGTCTCCTAATGTATCAATATAAACCTGTAATAACAATGATCAGTTTTCATGAAATTTGCTGACAGTTAAATTTTAACTACATATGTGTATACCTTGGTTAAATGATACCTCATGTCCAGTATAATCTTGAACAACACCATGGCAGCCTCATGTGATATATCATTGAGACTAATATAATTTCTATTAATAAAGACTTAATGAAATCAATTAGAATAGACATTAACTTAAACATCTTATTTACAGGAGGAAGTTGGATACTGATACAGACGACATTGAAAATTGATATTTAAAACTGAAAGCAGAAAACAACAGGCGGAGAACAAACCAGATCAATAGGACAAATAAGGAAGCCGACGATGGCAGTGACAGTAGTAGAAACGGCAGCAAAGCACGAGGAACCGACAAACAGAACACACACAAAACACAGACATAGTGGAATGAATTCAGATCGATATTATGTAAGTACCCGAATTTTTGATTTGGGTTTTAGGGTATTTTACCTGGCCGGACGACCGCTCGTATCCGGTGTACATAACAACGAAATTCAGGGTTGTAAGCAGGAACTCCATCGTTGTAGATCCCTCTGATGTGAATAGCAGTCAGAATCGAGCAGTTGATAGGACAAAAAAAAACAAAAAAAAAACTAAGTGATGAACAACAAATCAGAGCATGTTTTGAACAGACCTTAGGCTTGAAGCAGAAGAAGAAAGGAAATAAGCCGAAAAGCCCTACTTTTTAGATAGACGAAGAGATGATTTATGTATGTATCCTGTCACAACATCTAGAGTTAAAAGATATTGTCTATGACAGATAAATTAATAGCTCATATATACTATACTTCATAAATATTAAAGGGTGGAATGGAGAACAACCTTTGAAGAAACCATAACAACAGGGCATTGTAGGACTCATTTTTCTGTCATTAGACAATCAAAAATACAGTCAACATATGCTAAATAGATTTTGATTCAATAGATATGCGCAAATCAGATGAAGAATTTATAGATATGCACAAATTAGATGAAAAATCTATTCGAAATCAATTAACTCTATCATGCATCGGTCTAACCCTCATCGCAAAAATATTTGATTAGGCTTTGTAAATAGATCAAAAACAGATAAAGTAATTGATCGAAACTGATGTAGGCGATTGTGGGAATTTAGAAAAGAAATATAATCAAATTGACTAAGGATTGAAATGATGCTTTACCCGGGGATCTTGTCGACCTCAAATTCGACGCCGTCTGTAATTAAGACGAACATTGACGAAGACCACAGGCATCCCGTTAGATTAGGGTTAAGCGCCATCGATGAGTTTATCGGAGGCCCACATTCGCTGATTTTTGTCGTCGTCTAGGGCTTGGATCACGTGAACCACTCCTGGATGCCTTAATCTACCTAATCTGGACGCATCAACTCTGATGATATCGAAGGAGTATTCGACTGCTCTGGAAAGTCCGGAAATCGCAAGAGACATGGAAGCCTTTTCGGATGAAATTGGGAGGAAATTCATAAGCAAAGAAGAATATAAACAAAACACAAACAAACCTTATTGTGACACTCCGAAACTTCAATCTTGTACCATTAATCAATTCAATCAATATTTAACTTGTTTTGTCGATTTCTGGTGCTATTCAAGGGTTCATTTAAGTGTTCTAAGCTTGCATTTGACCAAGGTTGAGTTTAGGAATGAGTCAAAGTGTAGCAAAGTGAGAAAACCGGGCCATACACACCTCTTGGAGGAGTGTACGACCGTACACATGGGTGTGCGGCCGCACACCCACTCCCTTGGCAGCACACTCACTTTTGGGCAGCGCACTCACCCTATATAAAGGGTAGACCCCTTTCCTTTCATTCCTTTAACACCTTGGCAGCACACAACTCTATTCTCTCAAGTTTCTCCAACTTTGAACCTTCCAAAGCTTCAAGAACGTGAGTACTTCTTCCTCTAGCTTACAATCCATGAAAGACCCCTCTATCTAAGCCTTAAGTGCGCCAAAAATGGACATGTTCTTCGTGTTGGAAGTGAGTGCGGCCGCACACCCTTAAAACACCCTCCAAAGTGAGAGTTTGACTTCCATATTCGAGATAGACATGTCCCTAGCCTTGTTGCACCTTGGAAATGGCATTTTTGGACATTTTGGTGTGGGGTGTACGACCGCACACACCTGTGTACGGCCGCACACGCACCTGTACGGAAGCACACTCCAAGTGTGCGGCCGCACACTCAAGTGTGCGACCACACACTCATCATAGGGCCGCAAACCCACTTCTAAGACCCCTTTCTTGCACTACAATGGAGTATAGACCTAGAACACTTCGTGGATGTGAGTATGGACCTTGAGAACACTTCGAAGGCACCTCATTTCATGAGTGTACGGGCGCACACCCATGGCCTCACACCCACTCAAGGTGGCCATACACCCCCTATACTCAATCCTACAAGGTCCTATCTCTTGGTACACATAGTTTCAAGTATCTAGAGTGAATTCCAATGGTATTTAGTAGTGAAAAGCCTTCATTTGACTCCTATGTGTATGGCATTACATGTATTAGGATCAAGTTGAGTTCGAGGTTTCACTAGACACTCAACATCTCGTACCAAACTTTCGTGAAAACCACTCGCTCAAGGTGAGTTCATACCCCTACATTTTCTGTATTTTTAATGTTTTCAGGGGGGAATACAAGCTAAACATAAATGTTTTCAAAACTCATGCAATTCTCATACTTTAACCCTTTTGTATTGTGTTGAGCATAAGGGACGTTTTCACAAAAATTGCATCGTTTTCCGGACTCGCTGTTCACTACGTTATACATGCAAACTATAATCGGTATAGTTTGGGATTTTCTAAACATAACAAGTACAGATGTAACATCCAGATTTCCAGGTATTATGTTTGATCATTTATTCTTTTGAGTAAAAGGGAGGGACTCGACGAGTTGAGGCGTAGACTCGTCGAGTAGGATCGTGTGTGCTGGCTGGATTAATGAACGGACTCGACGAGTCGGAAATGGTGGACTCGACGAGTCCGCGCTGTAATTTGAAACCCTAATTCTCGGGGTCTGTGCCCTATTTAATGGCCTTTATGGCCTCCATTTGCGGCCACTTCACCCCTGAGAAACCCTAGAGAGCAGAGAGATCGTTTGTGGTGCAAGAGGAATGCTAATTCATCATTTCTTGTGTGTTTTAGCAAGAAGGAAGGAGGTAGAACAAGTTAAGCGGGTTGAGGAGCTTGGATCCACTTCTATTTGATCAGAGGAAGCTGTTGGAGGTAACAATCTGTGCCATTCTCGTGTTTATTATGATTCTAGTGAAATCTAGGGTTTTCTTTATGCCTCTTTTAGTTGAATCTTGAGTATGTGAGGTCCCAAGGCAAGTTGGTTCATAGATCTGGACCTTAAGAGGTCCAAAGAGTCCTTACCACTCTGCTTTATGCCATACCTTTTGAGTTATGAGCCTAGGAGGCCATTTTAGAGGTTATTTCACCAAAAGAAGCTTTGGGTGTGTTGCATGTGTACCAAGATTCGACCTTTACGTGATTATCATGCTTGGGAAGGTCAGATCTATAGATTAGAGAAGCAGATCTGACCTTAGAAGGTCATTTGAGTATGAACATGGAAGCAACTCGCCGAGTTCATAAGTGGACTCGACGAGTCGAGTCGGGGTTGCCCCGCGATTCGTGACAGGAGGAACCCGTCGAGTGGAAGGATGACTCGACGAGCCAAGAGAGACTAGAAGGGCTCAGAGGACCCGCATGGACTCGCCGAGTCGCCTGTGTGCACTCGACGAGTCGGGTCAAAGTTTGACCGTTGACTTTCGTTGACCTTAGGGTTCTGGTCAAGACTAATTCAAGAGAGTTCAGGGAGGGGTAGAATGGACTTCTACCCAATCTTTAGAGATGAGACTATGAGAGAGTATTGATCGGGGATGTTATTTGAATGATAGGAGGAGGCTAGGTCGGGACGTTGAGCACGAGAGTTATCCGACTTCATTGAGGTGAGTCTTCTCACTATACTGTACCTGGAAGGGTACCTATGTGTGACCGGGAGGTCTTGTATGCTATGAGATGTATGTGCTATATGCTGTTATGCGATATGTATGTGTTATGTATGTTATGTATGATAAGGACCGGAAGGTCAAGATGTTATGGACCGGAAGGTCAGGAGGTTACGAACCGGAAGGTCGATACGGGTAGGACCGAAAGGTCTACCGGGATTCGGGACGGAAGTCCCCTGAGACACTTGGATCGGAAGATCCCACAGAGTTATGGCCTAGAAAGGCGTATGTGTTGTATGTGGTATTTTGGGGAACTCACTAAGCATTTATGCTTACAGTTGTTGTGTTATGTGTTTCAGGTGCTAGCGAGGATCGCGGGAAGGCGCCGACATGATCCGTACACACTCATAGAGATTATGTTTTGAGATTCTGGGATTTGTTTGTTATGATGACATTGGATACAGTTTGTTTGATATTGTTTTTGATGATTGAAAATATGATTTAAAAATGAAAAATTGTTTTGAAAATTTACGTTGTTACAACAGAAACTTTCACTACTAAAAATATGCACTAAGATAGAAACAGTTTACAGTATACATCACTACTTTACCATGGTATTCATACGGTATACATTCGGATTTCATTATGGTAAAAACGCTACAACACTACATGTAAACTAGATTGTACGATACTGTGAGGCGCTACTTCAATACTGTACCCTTAGGTGTACAGAGATAAATCCTATCATAGTATAACCAGAGTCTCCTGGAGGGAGAGCGTGAGATTTGTGAATAGATCTATTCGGGACTGACAATCCCACACCCGAACTGCTAGCTACAGTTGGGCAGGCATGCCCAGGGTGACAAATGTCATTTAACTCGACGCCTGAAGAACGTTGGAAAGGTCTCTAGTCATATCAAGTATGGTTATACGACTCACATTATGTATAATTCACCCTTAAGTTTACAACCTGTCACTCTTCAACAGTTTTATTTTTACTAAATAGAACTAACACACACTACGTATAATGGCTGAAGCCAGGGTTTTCAACCAAAAATCGATTATGCAAGGATTTCATATACAATATACTTATACTTCATGATTAGCCTTAGCTAGTCACATGAAGTAGTATTTTCACATATCACCACAGTTTTCAATAACGAACATTCATGGTTTATACGGAACTGATAATGCTACATTCTCACTAAAAAAAATATCGGATTTTCTTGGAAAGATACAAACACTTTTACAAGCTCACCAATAAGTTTTCATTACAAATTATCGCTTATGAACTCACCAGCTTTATGCTGATATTTTCAAACTGCTTGTGTTCTCAGGAAATCAGTAGACAGGTACCTGCTGGGTTTTTGAGAAGCTGGAGCAATAAGAGTCTTATGTTTACTTTTATATATATACTCTCTGATGTAATTCAAACAAGTTTTCAAACTGATGTAAACATTTTCCTATATGTATACACTGTGATGGTTGTGTTGCTATGGTTGCTATTATACATTGGTTATGATGCTATACATGACGTCCTCCGCCCCGGAACGTTTCCGCCATCGGTTTCGGGGTGTGACACTTATTGGAGGAGAAAGACGGCAACCGACGCTGACGAGAAGAAGATAAGCATGAAACAAAGTAGAAGTTCCAACTGAGGAAAAGAAGATAATCACCAGCAAAACCCGAAATTCCAGTGGCAAAATAAGAAAGGAGAAGAATTTCGTGTGCAAATAAGAAAGAAAAAAAAAGTTACTGTTCGCCAAGTTTTTAACAATCCTCCTTAATAAATGAATGTTTTTTTTTTGCTACATGTCAATCTCTAATGAGTTTTGACACTTGTCATCTTGTGGTATTTTTGAAATAAATATTATCCACTTGTCAATTTTTGGTTTGTTTCAATTTTTAAAATTAAAATCATATATACTTATATATGTAAAGTATTAAATATCATATATATGATATTAAATTGTAATAAATATGTTTTTTCCTTATTTTAAAGTTATACATTAAAAAATATTTTTTGTTTACACTTTAATGTTTAATCTTTTTTAAATCAACTCGTGTAATACAAGTACTTCAGTTAACGGTATATATAATAAAAGTCCGATCGTCAAAAAATAAAAAAGCTTTAAATCTGAATAATAAACGTCGTATTATCCCCTTCTCTCCGGCGAGGGTAAAAGAGAAAGTTAACCCTATTGATAACCAAAAACACTCGGAAGATGACGGAACCGGTCACCACCGGCCAAACAGACGATCAAGAAGTAGGAACGCCGGATAACATGGAGGAGAGGAATCCATCCCCGAAAGTTGTTAGCCGTAAGGAAAAGCGAAAGGCGTTGAAGAAAGACAAGAGGAAGCAAATAAGGAAGGAGCTAGCGGAGAAAGCTCGCACCGAGGAGGAAGCTCGGCTCAATGATCCCGAAGTGAAACGAAAGATTGAACTAGAAGAAGAGAGGGAGAAAGAGAGACTAGAGAAGGAAAGAAAGGAGTTTGAGGAGAGAGAGCGGATTTTTCTCGAAGAGTTACAAAGGAAGAAGGAAGAGGAAGAAGAAGAAGAGCGAAGGAATGCTGTTGAAAGAGAATCAAAGCTAAAACAGGTTCGTCTCTTACACTACCTAAACTCTCTTCTTTTTTGAATCTATAGATTCTACCCAATTTAGGTTAGAAACTAACGAATTGAATTCTGGTTTGCTATCTACTTGCCAATTGAAGTGAACAACTGTTAAAAGTCCCACATTATTTTGCAGGAAGGAACAGAGGAAGTCTCAAATGAAGATGACGATGAATGGGAATACATAGAGGAAGGGCCTCCTGAAATCATATGGCAAGGAAACGAAATAATAGTGAAGAAGAACAAAGTCAAGGTGAAAAAGAAAGAGGCCAATCAATCTATCCAAAAAGAGGTACACAAGTTAATAGCCTTTTCTGTGTTTCTCACAGCACACAATCACAACCTCTTTAAGTCATTTCTCATTTCATTTTGCAGGATCCTGATAGACCTACATCAAATCCACTTCCTCCACAATCTGAAGCTTATGCTGCTTTCAAGAATGCACCCATGACTCCAACAGAGTTGCTGGACACTGTTGCCCAGCAAGTCCCAAACTTTGGAACAGAGCAGGTCAGTCTTTGGTTGCCTCTTTTTGTTACCTTTTTTTTTATAGTGTACTCAACTGGTTTTTGTTTGTTAATATTGCAGGATAAAGCTCATTGTCCATTTCATATTAAAACTGGAGCATGTAGATTTGGTATGCGTTGCAATAGGGTTCATTATTACCCTGATAAATCAACCACATTGCTTATCAAGAACATGTACAATGGACCTGGGCTTGCTTGGGAACAAGATGAGGGACTTGAGGTCTGTTGTTGGGTTCAGCCTGTGATTCGTGTATCCTGATGAATTTTTTGATAGTATTAATGCTTTATTAATTTGGATTTCATTTAACCATTGACCAATAAAACTAAATAACTTGTGTGTGATTATGTGGTGTAGAAATCCTCTAGAAAAAAAACTATGGTTTAATTTTATCCGCTCTTCTTGTTGTTCTTGACTCTATGTAATCAGAATCTTTCCCAAGATCCACACTGGAAGTTCATGAATTTGGCTTTTTGAGGATTGGAGATAAACGTTATTAGCGATTTGTATCCTACAATCTCTCAAACTTTCTTGTCTTTAATATGTTTTCCATGGTAATATCTTAATTGTAATAACGTTATTATACAAGTAATTGCTTATATAATAACTTTTTAGATATTCTGACAACTAGTGTCTCTAGGGGTTTGAGAAAAGATCATTTTGTGTAGTTGTTTGCACCTTTGGATTCTAGCTCCTTAACTCCTTTAGGTGTCATATTTGTCATGCAATTGAAGATTTTGTACTCTACAAGCTTGAGCTAACAAATGACTTCAACATTGCCATCTATTTTTAGTATATGTATCCTTTCAATAGCTTTCAGGTAACAACTTACAAGTTTCCTAAGAAAATCAATTAGAAAGATTTGTGACCAAAGGGACAATTATGGTTTCTTAGTTTTAGAACAGTTATGCAGGCCATAGTTTGTTTGATGAAGTCAATTTCCTATCTGCCATTCTTGACTCTACTTAGTTCCTGTGCCTAAGGTTTTCAACTGTACTTTTCTCAGTTATATGGAATTTTATTGTAAAATTGAGTTAGCTGATGAGAATGAGGGCATTTTAGAAAGAAATAACTTATGATTTTAAGAATCCAGTATGATTAGGCTAAAACATGTGTGCCATTAAAGTCCACACACATATGCATATAGATACACAAATGTAGATAGGATATAAGTCTTTTACATATATATACAAACATACATATAGAATACGTACATGTATATGTCTGAATGTCTATATGTGTATGCATACACACATGAATACATTATACTATTATAGATATACACCAATATATTAGATGGATATACCTCTGTGCATAAAAATACACACACCTATATATACATATTCACACATGCATATAGATTTTTTTAATTATGTATATGCATGCACACACATATCATATATATCTCGTACACATGCACATATATGTATGTATGCATATTTATCTATAAGTGTGTTTGTATGCATTTTTTTCATTTACATTTAATCATTTTGAATAATGGACTCTATTGATTTTCTGATCTCTACAGTATACAGAGGAAGAGGTTGGGCGCAGTTATGAAGAGTTTTATGAGGATGTACATACAGAGTTTTTGAAGTTTGGGGAAATAATAAATTTTAAGGTCTGTTGTATAAGTTATACATTCATTTCCTTTTGAAAACACTACACACCATATTAATAGTTTTCAGATTTTATTTATTCTTTTTCTTTTTGTTGATAATAGGCAGTGTTATTGTTGATTTTTAGTTTGTGAATGTTTGATAATGAGAAATATTATTTGTGATCAGGTGTGTAGAAATGGTTCTTTTCATTTGAGAGGAAATGTTTACATCCAATATAAGTCATTGGATTCAGCTGTGATGGCTTACAATTCTGTACATGGTCGTTATTTTGCAAGCAAACAGGTATTTTTTTTTTATTTTCTTTTCAGATTTTTCATATTTTGTTGTCAGAATTACTTTCATTTAGTTTTGGAAATAGACCTACAAAAAAGTTGTCCAATTGTGTATCATGTAACAAATGGAGCCCTAGAGTTTTAGTTCTTATTTGCTTTAAGTTTAACAACTGCTTACTTGATTTGGAATTGATGATTGATAGGTTAAATGTGAGTTTGTTAGCCTAACAAGATGGAAGGTTGCTATATGTGGGGAATACATGAAATCAAGGCTTAAGGTATCCATTAATCAATATGTTGATGTCTTTTGTTCAACATACCAATCACTACTTTTTGTTAACATTTTTTCTTCCTATTATTACTTACCAGACGTGTTCTCGAGGGTCTGCTTGTAATTTTTTACATTGTTTCACGAACCCTGGTGGAGACTATGAATGGGCTGATTGTGATAAACCACCTCCAAGATTTTGGGTCACAAAGATGGTTGCTTTATTTGGTTATTCAGAAGACGACACCTGGCACCAACCAACTCCCAAGGACCAACATCGCATATTTACATCAGATAGAGACAGGTTTGCCTTTTTCCCTGTTAACTACTTTCTCGATAAACAATGTTTCAAAAATATTTGAGAAAACCGGGGCCCACAACCATATCTCGTTTATGGATTCTAACAGAATTTGTTTCGGTTTCGATGTTTGTTTTTTGTTTGCAGTTATCACGAAAAAAGGCATCGGTCTATTGAAAAAAATCAGCACAATGGAAATTCAAGTAGAAAACACGATGATGAAAATCACGTTCGAAAAAGCAGAAAACGTGAACGCGATAAAAATTATGAACACGAGGATTCCGATTCTGATGGAGATCGGTTGAGGAGACATCATGAAGGTTCACAAACTCACTCAAGTCATAGTAGGAGCAAAGAGAGTAAACCCCATGATTATTATCGTAAAAGCAAGAGAAGAACTCATGGTAGTAGTAGTAGTTCCGATGAAGACTTTTACACCAAAAAACGACATTTAAACACGAAAAGTAGGTCACGACGTACGAAAAATGTCTTGGAATCATCTAACGATGAAGAATTGGATGATGCCGAGTTAAAAAGACGTAAAGAACGGAAAACCGATCGTCGGAGGTCGAGAAGGCGTGGTCGTGATGGTAGCTCCGGTGAAATTGACGGAGAATCCGGCGAGGTGGAGCGGCAGCGGAATGGGAGGAGTAGGTCACGTGATCGTGATGGTGATGGTGGGTGTCTCTCAGAGAAAAATGAGATGGGTGACCGTTGGGAGCCCGAAGGTTCTCCTAATGAATTGAAAAATTCAGAAGGTGATGGTAAAAGTAGTCATGGAGAGAACCGGAGAAGTCGTGATCATGATGATAAGACGAGGGAGAAGAGGAAGAGAATTTGAGAAGCGGCTAAGAAATGACACGATATAACAAACTGAGACTGTTGGCATGTATTGGATTTGAGAAAAAGTTGTAATTTTTGGATGATTTTGATCTCATCCAAAAAGTGGAGCAAAATGGGGATGCCTTTATCCTTGAAATTAGCATAAAGTGTTTGCCTTAGAGAACTTGCTTTATATGTATAGCACAGAAAAGGAATACACGGCATGAAACGTTTACTTCTATGTGTTCTTTGATAGATTCCAAATTATTCTCCTTCAAGAACCACTTAGAATCGGGTTCCAAATTATTAATCCTAACAAGAGTTTACATAAACTATCTAAGATAAGTGGTCATTGGTTACTCATTTGCCCTGTCATTGCCAAATCAAATATTAACGTAAACAAGTTATAACATATATATTTTTTTCATATAAACGATGCAAAAAACTTAAGTGGTAAAATCTTTTCAAAAAAAAAGCTAAATGTGACCCGGTTACTATTTAATTACATGGTTTCACGATTTAAAAAAAAATGTGTACGACGTAGGGCTTCATCATGCAATCATGCGAGCATTGTACTTTTAATTTTCATGGATTCTGATTTCTGACCGATCGATCTCCTGACTATACTTCAGCATGTACATGATGAGCCCTCAAGGTTTCTGGTAACTTCACTCAGTACCCTCAAACAACTTCTTTACAACTAAAGCCCTTTAGAAACTCACAACTACACTTTAGTCGTCCAACTTTATTATAACAAATCAAGACACAATGACCAAGTTCAACACTCTTCAATTGTAACAGGAATCAAGCTATTCAACCTAACTAAACAACAATAATACAAACACAATTACCAAGTTCAAAACTCTTCAATTGTAACAGGAACCAAACTGTTCAACCTAAGTAAACACCAATAATACAGATACAATTACCAAGTTCAAAACTCTTCAATTGTAACATAAATCAAGCTATTCAACCTAAGTAAACACCAATAATATACATAAATAAATGGGAAAATTGCAATAAAATGCTTACATATTGACATCATAATCGATTTAGTCATTATATATATATATATATATATATATATATATATATATATATATATATATATATATATTCAATTAAGTCTTAAAAACCGGTAATCGTATTCAATTTAACCTTTTTACCCAGTCAACAGGTCATCTAACTTTCAAAAATTACATTTTTGGCATAGATTACAAAATTTATTACAAAATTAGTCCAAAATATACACTTTTGGTCCAGATTTTAAACTTTATTACAAATTTGGTCCACAATTAACCCTTTTGGTCCAAATTTTAGAATTTTGTTATGAATTCATCCTAACTTTAGTTTTTTTTTCACAACTTTTTTTTCTCAAAATTTTGTTTCGAATATTTTTTTTCTTTATAAAATCATATGTATAGAAAAAAAAAACATATTTTCACATAAAAAATCTTATATTTTCTATATAAACACTTGTTTTAAAAAAAAACTTTTTTGTATACGAAATACTTATTTATAAAAATAGGTATTTATTAAATACATAAATATATACAACTCAGTTTCCATAAAAAAAATGTATATATACATGTATTTTACACAAAAAAATGTATACAAACACCTATTTTATTATAAATACATTTGTATGCAAACACGTATTTATAAAAAAATGTATACAAACATCTATCTAATATTAAACGTATACATTTCTTTTGTAAACACACACACACACACACACACACACATATACATATATATATATATATATATATATATATATATATATATATATATATATACTAGGTTAAAACCCGTGGAACCCACGGGTGTTAATTTTAAATATATTAAAAACATTAATTATGTAATAAAATAATATATCATTAATTTAGAAAACTTATGAATTGTATTGTATTTTTTTATTAACTTTATAATTTGTAAGTATTTACTAAGTATGTAAGTCCAATTATTTGATAAAAGTCATGAGTTTTTATAATACAATATACATTTGAGTAAAGAGAAATAAACACAAAAAATCGTTGAAATTGAATTGCTATAAAACAAACAAAGCATTTCAGTAATGCAATTAACATAAAAAAATACAATATAGATAAATTAATAAATATGATGGATGAAGTGTGGTTTACTAAAAGTGACTAAGTATGTTTATCCTAAATTGATATACTTTTGATAAAATAAAATATAAAGAAATAAAATTTATATTAAACACAATTAATATTTGTAAGATGTAAACCCAAGACAATAAATATACTTTTTTTTATTGTTATTAAAGTAGAAATTAGTTAATTATTTATAGAGTTTGACGAACACATGATATGATTTTTAACATGAAATAAATATTAGTTTTAAAAAACATTGATTCAAAATAAAAAGTTCATAAATTTTTGTTAAAAATTCAATTTAAATGTAATAGTTATTTGTAAATTTGTAGTATTATGTTGCTTAGTACGTTTCAAGAAATGGGTCGCCTAAACCACATACCTAAATTCCACTAAATGGGTCGACCCTAAACCACAGACCCTAATTATACGGATGAATCCTCCATTTACTATATCCAACAATCCAATGTCCTAATCGATCCCTATTTGATCAAGTTTCATAACCGAATGATTATGAGTGAATCATATCGACGGTATGAAATCTCCAACGGCGATCTTCCGATTATGTCAGACACCGACGAGTTTCAGAGTTCAGACATTGTTAGTCTTCTACGGTTGTGCGACGGCCTATCATCGGTGTTGCATCTGGAAATGAGAAATTATGTTTAGTCGTTTGGGTTTCCGGTTGATTGCAATAGGTGGCGGGCCACCGCTCATATTATAGATTAGCCGGTGGAGTCCGCCAGACTTATCTGATACTTTCAGACGCCGGACGACAGTTGATGTTAAGTTTCCGACACCTGATTGAGTTCATTAGAAAGATGACAGGGTATGGGCTAACGGATCCAGTGAACAGAAAAGAGTATTTTGATTACTCGAGGATTCAAGGTACAATTGATATTGAGGTAAGCCTTTACATTATCAAATAGTTGGTGTTCAATACAATATACTAATTCTTATGAACTTGACACAAAAATAGCAACGCATATTCTCAATATTCATTAAATAAACGACAATGAAAGAACCAGTAACACATTCAATTTATACATGTTATAGGGATCATTTTTGTAATTAATATAGCTATTTTGAGAAAAATGTACTTATCTGCAATTATAGTTTAACGGGAACTATCTTTTTTTGAATTTATACTTTACAGTGAGCATTTATAGGGACCATTTATGAATTCAATAATCATTCGTGTTATATGAATATGTAGTTATTTGACGCCTTTCAGAAAAGCATAGGAAGATAACTAAATATGACAGAATCATGAAAAAGACAATAATGTCCTTTAGTTTAGTTTTACACCAAAACTTCAAATAATCACACCGAATTTTGCTATCCCTTGTCTGCAAAAGTCATGATAATTCATACATACTTGAATAAACCTATCACAATTGACAATTTTATAAAAAAGACCAATTTGCCCTTCAACTCTTTTACAAATGTCATCATAAACCGAATGAATATTGCTGCAATTACCATGAAAAATGCCATAAAAACCTGTAGAAATTTAATTGTATCCATGCTTTGATCCATCAAAAACCAGAAAAAGGAGAACAATACCCTTTTAAAAATTTACTACATTGATTCTTACAAAAATTACAATAAGCATTTATTTCCTTACAGCAATGATATCGATTATTATAAAAATTACAATAATCATTTCTCATTTGATGCGATCTCGTCTGTATAACAGGTACATGTATGGATGCTATCTCATCATGGTAGAGACTATTGCTTTTGTTTTTTTATAAGTAACTAAACATATAAATTCAAAATATAGTTCAAATAAGCAGATTCAAATTACATGAATTTGTTTATAGTTCAAAAAAAGAATGAAAAATAGCAGGACATTATCAGAATTTCCATATTTTCCTGTGTTTATGTACAAAACCTTAACTCAACTCAACTAACAATAATGGTTGAAATGGGGAAAATAGAATTATATCTTTGTTTATTAGATTTGCTGCAGTAGAAAACAAATGGCGAGGAAGAAAAGCAAAGACGGAAAAACTTGAAAGAATGCTTATATATGCGAAGGTGATGAGTCGATTATATTTTTAATCTCAAATAATATGTGAATGATGATTACAGTCGATGAAGATACAATTGAAAAACTGAAGGGATCATGTTTTTACGATATTTAAGGTAATAAGGTGCATGATTTTTATTGATGATAATTAGGGTGTTATATATTAAGGGGTAAATTTATGTAGATACCAAATAAAATTGAAATGTTCCTGATTTTCTGGGATTTTTTTTCTAAACTATATATCTTATTCTTTGTTATCTGCAATAAAAACAAATACATAATAACATAAAAACGAAATATAGTTGATTGTTGTGAGTTGTAACTTGCAGTAAATACAAAACACAAGCAGAAAACACGAAATGAAATAAAAAACAATGACAAATTCAAAAGGCTAACTTGATTTGCAATGTGTTGCAGAAGGCTGACTACATGAACTTTAGAAATGTGAAACAATGGACGACAGAGGGGACTAAAATCGGGTGAGAATAATGAACATTTTAAATAGTAATCTGAATTTAAATGAAATCATAAAATGATATTATCCCGTTAAATATGCCATCTTTAATGCATTTCCTTTTATATATTTGAATGCAGGTAAAAGCTTTAGCTGAATTTTAAATTATTTGCAAGTAAAAGCTTTATTAGAATTTGAATTTATATTCATGTTTACTTTATATAAAAAAAATGGTAGCAAGGAATGTAAGGGCAATTTTGGAAATTCAGAAAGTACACACATAGAAACACATACAGATATTGAGATACACACACATACAAACATGCACACACATATGCATATGTTATTTCTGAATTATAACATTGGACTTTCAAAGTACAATGTTAAAATAAGAAAAAAAAATTAGTAAAGCAGAAAGTTTTCTATCAAAAGTATGGCTTAAATAACAAAATTACAGAAAATTTTATTTCAAAAGCATTGTACTTATATTAATATATTAGAACCATCAAAATTCAGACTGATATAAAAGCTGAAAGAAGATTTTTACATTTTTTTATTCTTTATTAGTTGAGAACAAAAAAAAGGCACAAAATTTTGATTTTTTTTGCAATTATGATTTATAGTTTTTTTTATTATTTTTCTTTGTTTCTGGGTTTCTTTGATTTATGATATTATATTCATGTATACACAGGAAGAATTAAGAACATAAACATGAAAACTCTGAAAAATATATGCAGTTATCGAATTTGTACAAATGCATGAATTCAGATTGTCCTGTAAAAGAAAGACTGAACAGGATTTCAGATTGCTAACCTTGTGTAGTTGTTCCTGTCGTGGAGGATGAATATGCAGTAAATGATCACAAAATCAAGGAAATTATAACTGGTACTGACAGGAAGGATTGAAGAACTTATGTTAGCAACTTGATTTATTGAATAAATTATTTTAAAACAAATAAAACTGAGAAGGTACAGTGAAGAAGAACTGAAGAAGCATACCGTTTGCAAAGAATTCTCTAAAGCAGAATCGTGAACAAAATAGAAGCATCTAGATGGTATAATGGTATATATTTCGGTATGCCTTTATTTGGTGCAGATCTTTTGGGATTTAATGACTGGAAATTAATCAACTTCCAATTAGAATAAACAAACTTCCATATTTTATTGGATATGACGAATTTGAAATTTGAATTTACGATTTTTGCATATTATTTGGAAATCTTTTATAAATTTTAAATTGTTGAATGCATTTGATTGGTGCAGATTTTTCCGGATTTATTGACTGTATATGATATATGAATTGGAGGGCATTTACGTAAATGTAGATGAAGAAAATAAGCGGGAAAACACAATTTAGGGGGCTGGGAGAGTGACACGTGGACATATTCTACTTATTTATTAGGATAGGGGATATATATATATATATATATATATATATATATATATATATATATATAAACACCTATTTTGTAATAAATTCATTTGTATTCAAACACGTTTATATATAAAATGTATACAAAAACGTATTATATAAAAAATTATTCAAACATGTTTTTATAAAAGAAATGTATACAAACATAATTTTATAAAAAATATAGACACACACCTATTTGTGTGCATATATATATATACACACACACACACACACACGCTTACTATGAATTTTTTTTTGTATAGAAACTATAAGATTTTTTTATGTGAAAATATGTTTCTTTTTTTGTATAAATATGATTTTGTATAGAAAAAGCATATTTGAAACAAAATTTTGAGAAAAAACGTTGTAAAAAAACTAAAGTTATGATGAATTCATAACGAAATTCTAAATTTTGGGCCAAAATGGTAAATTTTGGACGGAATTTATAATAAAATTTAAAATCTAGTTCAAAAGTGTAAACTTTGGACCAAATTTGTAATAAATTTTGAAATCTGCGCCAAAAGTGTAATATTTGAAAGTTGAATGACTTGTTGACCAGAGTTAAATTTAATAAGATTATCGGTTTTTGGGACTTAATTGAATAAAAAAAGATATAAGGACTAAATCGATTATGAAGTCAATATGTAACAACTTTATTGTAGTTTTCCCTAAATAAATGAATGAACATAAATTTTCACAAGTAACCATTTGAGTTTCCATTAAAAATTGAAGATAAATAAATGCAAAAATAAGAATTTTATTAACTCCCAAATAACCATTTCGAAGACAAATACTCACGGTCACATCAATATAATAAATATAATAAACTCTTTTGTATAAATGATTTCTTAAACTCAAATGTTATAACAAGTTTAACAGAATCAATTGAACTCTACGACATTAAATGATTTCTATCTTTTCTCTTCTATCTGACAAACCCTAACTCTAGAAATCGAATGATAAACCCTAGTTTTAGGGATAACAGATTGTGAGAAGTCTTTCTACCGAAGTCTCCTTTATATATTAGTAATTAATTAATTAAGTGGAAAAGAAATTAAAGGGTGTGTGTTCCTCCAATGAAGAGAAAAATGCAATATTAGATTACTCATAAGAACCGGAGGATTTAGAAAAATTAGAGATGATGGACATTTTCCAGAAAAACAAGGATTCAATGGGATATAGAATGTGATGAAAACACGGAATTTTTTCGTGGTCTCTTAAAACAAAAACGCAGAGGAATTAATGTTACATGGTGTTCTGAGCGTGCTCAAGTAAAGAAGACGTTTTTAGATTTTTTATAAAGAAAAGTTATATGCCTTCTCTTCCCAAATCCGTTTAAACCTGTAACAACCCGGAACTTCAATCCTGTACACTTAGTCAATTCAATCAATATTCAACTTGTTTTGTCGATTTCTGGTGCCATTCAAGGGTTCATTTAAGTGTCTAAGCTTGCATTTGACCAAGGTTGAGTTTAGGAATGAGTCAGCATGTCCCATAGTGAGGAAACCGGGCCATACACCTCTCTTGGAGGAGTGTACGGCCGTACACATGGGTGTGCGGCCGCACACCCACTCCCTTGGCAGCACACTCTCTTTTGGGGCAGCACTCTCACCCTATATAAAGGGTAGACCCCTTTCCTTTCATTCCTTTAACACCTTGGCAGCACACAACACCTTTCTCTCAAGATTCTTCAACCGCAAACCCTCTCAAGGCATCAAAAACGTGCGTTTTCCATCACCTAACTTATCATACATGAAGGACCCATTGATCTAAGCCCTTAATCATCAAAGTTTCATCATGTTCTTCATCATATGAAGGTGTACGGCCGCACACCTTCATAAGGTGGCCGTACACACCTTAAAGACTCTCCAAAGTGAGAGTTTGGCCTCCATTTGCTAGTTGGACTTGGTATTGGCTTTGAAACACCTGAAAATCAACATTTTGAGCAGAATGAAGAGTGTACGGCCGCACACCTCTATGTACGGCCGCACACTCCCTTGTACGACCGCACACGCCCTCTGTACGGCCGCACACTCCTGTATGCCACCGCACACACATGCTGACCGCACACCCTGGCCGCACACACACTCTTATGGCCGTACACCTCCCTCGTTTGATCATGTAGGGTCCCGCCAAGCATTTCCAAGTATTTAGGGTGGTTTCCCGTCATGTTTAGTCATGAAACACCCTAATTCTAACACACATATGTGTTACCATATGTTAATAGGATCCACTTGCGTACGAAACACCAGTTGACACTCAGCATCCACACCGATCATACGCTCGAATCCTACGTCAAACAGTGAGTTCATACCCCTACATTTTCCGTATTTTTAATGTTTTCAGGGGGGGAATACAAGCTAAACATAAATGTTTTCAAAACTCATGCAATTCTCATACTTTAACCCTTTTGTACTGTGTTGAGCATAAGGGACGTTTTCACTAAAATTGCATAGTTTTCCGGGTACGCTATTCACTACGTTTTACATGCAAACTATAATCGGTATAATTTGAGATTTTTCTAAACATAACGAGTACAGAAACTTTCACTACTAAACATATGCACTAAGACAGAAATAGTTTACAGTTGCGTCACTACTTTATCATGTTTTTGATAACTGTAATTATCACTACATACGGTATACATACAGATTTTCACTATGGTAGAACGCTACTACACTACACGTAAACTAGATTGTACGATACTGTGAGGCGCTACTTCAATAATGTACCCTTAGGTGTACAGGGATAAATCCTATCATAGTATAACCAGAGTCTCCTGGAGGGAGAGCGTGAGATTTGTGAATAGATCTATTCGGGACTGACAATCCCACACCAGAACTGCTAGCTATAGATGGGCAGGCATGCCCAGGGTGACAAATGTCATTTAACTCGACGCCTGAAGAACGTTGGAAAGGTCTCTAGTCATATCAAGCATGCTTATACGACTCACATTATGTATAAATCATCTTTAGTTTACAACCTGTCACTCTTCAACAGTTTTATTTATACTAAATAGAACTAATACACACTAAGTAATATGGCTGAAGCCAGGGTTTTCAACCAAAAATCGATTATGCAAGGATTTCATATACAATATACTTATACTTCATGATTAGCCTTAGCTAGTCACATGAAGTAGTATTTTCACATATCACTACAGTTTTCAGTAACGAACATTCATGGTTTTTATGGAACTGATAACGCTACATTCTCACTAAAGAAAATATCGGATTTTCTTGAAACGATACAAACACTTCTACAAGCTCACCAATAAGTTTTTATTACAAACTACTGCTTATGAACTCACCAGCTTTATGCTGATATTTTCAAACTGCTTGTATTCTCAGGAAATCAGTAGACAGGTACCTACTGGATTTTTGAGAAGCTGGAGCAATAAGAGTCTTATGTCTATATTTTACATATACTCTCTGATGTAATTCAAACAAGTTTTCAAACTGATGTAAACATTTTCATATATGTATACACTGTGATGGTTGTGTTGCTATGGTTGCTATTATACATTGGTTGTGATGCTATACATGACGTCCTCCGCCCCGGAACGTTTCCGCCATCGGTTTCTGGGTGTGACAGATTGGTATCAGATCCCTTGTTT